ATTTTTCTATTAAAAATTGGACACATTATAAGTAAGATATAACAATAGTTTTTTCTTTGGACAAAATATGATTGACCAACTTTAATTTACAACCAATCTAAAACTTGTCATATTAGACGGAAAAAAATAGTATTCGAATACTTTTTTGAGTATTCGATTATGTATTCAGGATATATATATTTTTTAATGTATTTTAATACGTATTCGGAATACTTCAATACTCATTTACTCGAATACGTATATTCCGAATCCGAATACAAAATAAAAGTATTCCTTACAAGACTACCATTTTGTGAGAATAATAGTGTGTGCAGTTATGTATTGTTATACCTTCCCTCACAAAAAAACTCGTCATAGGTATTGTATTCGATATTTGTTTATATTTTTTGTTTGGTAAAAAGCTTCAACTGTGAAAGACACTAGTCTACAATAGTATTTTTTATTCATTATTATATTGATATAAAAACGTAGAACTACAATGATATTATGCCAATCGTAGTTTTTTATCAATTAGAAATTAATCTCGTATGCGAATGTGTTCTAGTTTAAAATTTTAAATGCTTATTTTTTTAAGAATACGAATATTGTCGATAGACAATGTATTGTTGTTACAAGGTCACTCACAAATTGTTGGCACAATGCGAAGAACGCACATTTTTTAAGTTTTTTATATTTAAAGTGCAATGTGCATCTACATATTATCACACATCCACACCTTACCCCACCATTTCGCGGCGTCGAATCCATTGTAACTAAACCCAAACTACACATTAACCTAAAAAAAGTCAATGCCAAAAATGCACTAGTCTGGCGGCACACGTCAAATCCTCATTAATACTTCTTTCACGCGTACAGAAACTAAAATTAAGAAAAATATGCGTTTCACACACGAAGAAATTATTTCAGCACCAATAGTCGCGAAAAATATATGCAATATCTGATTTATTTTTAATTGCCGAAATTCCATTAATGAATCTGAACTGCAGATTTAAATCAATGCTGTTTTAATTTTAAACGATAATGTCTTCTTACACATAAAACTACAGGAGTACTTATTATTATTTATTATTATTACTTAACGCTAGTCTTGTTTAGTATTCGAATACTTGTATTTAAATACATTGCAAATACTTTTTGACAAGTGTGTATTCTTAAATACTTTCAAAATACATTTTCTTTGTATTTTATTCCAGAATACTAAATACTTTTTTTTTATATCGCGGTGTTTCAAAGAACAATATTTTTGTCCCATATTTTGTTCTAATTTTAAAAACTGGTCTTAAAATACTATTTTATAACGCTTCTAATAATTTTTAAATAACACAATACCTAAAATTCATATCATCTGCCTCGCTGATGATAAATCGATGACAATATAATAATACATTAATATAGGTATGTGACATCTAACATTTTTGAACCAATTAAAGAAAGTATTTATTAATAATTTGAAGTATACATTTGCGATGAACTTAAAATGAATTTTAATGTACTACAAAAAAATTATTTTAAAGTATTATTATTTATGAATACTTTTAAAATGTATTTGTATTTAAATGCATTGAAATATTTTTGAAATGCAGTATTTCAAATACAAATGACACGGAGTATTTAAATACGCATTCTGAATAAATTATTTAAAAAGTATTATTAACAAGATTAATGTTAAAGCTCACTAATAACTAAAGTAAGTTTACGTTGATTTGATTTAATTTTAAATTAATTGACACTAATCATATAGGTGTTGAAGTAAAATGAATATTAATGTCAATATTATGTTATCATCATATCATAAATCCAATAATTATTATTATACGCTCGTATACTTATAATGTTATTTAATAAAAGTTATTATGTCATAATCTCTAAGTTATCATAATAATTACTACATTTATAAAGTAGAAAATGTTTCTAAATTGATCATACAGGTTCTAGTGTTTCTAGTCATTATAAAATCATGAGAATGCTTCAATAAATACCTAAAATGTACAAGACACACGTGGTGTTAAATTGCATATTCGTGCGCCGTCAATAAAAATAATTTAATTATTATGAAACTTTTTGATAAGTATAATAATATTATGAGAAGATTCGATAAATAAAATAATTCACAATCATTATCTGTTCACTTAAAAAGTCTCGGGTTGATCCTTATTCCTTATTTATGTGGAACATACATTGAATGAAGTACAAAATATTATTCCTGTATCGGTTTTTAGTAGAACCGACAATCTGGAATTTATAGTCATTTTAATGGTTATTTTAAAATTGAAATATTGAAATATTATAACAGAATTACAAGAAGTAATTAGCGTTTAGTAATAATATAAAATATATTAAATTGTTTATACATTTTTAACACCTAATTATTCATAGGAATTTTATATATTTTTTTAAGTAAAAATTATAGTTCGAATTGTAGGTACAAGTCTTAAAATAATATAACTATGTTTATGTACTTCTATTCTGTTATGTTGATTAATTCATTGCAGTTTATAAGTATGCAATTTCACCGTGTGTACAACCTATATCATGTATTTTTATGTCTATTCTTAATAAATATGCTATAATTGGTACGACTCAAAATTATTTTAAATAATGTACTCTGTGTGATCTATTTAGAAACTTGTTTTTTTTTTAATGTAATTATGAAAATTGAATGTATTCTTGTTACCGGTAGTATAATTTGTTATTAGCCAAATTTAATCAACAAAATGTATTTATAAGTATTTTATTTAATATGTGTTATTATTTATCTGCAAAACAAGTAATTTATTATAATTAACTGACCTAACCTACATATTAGATAATACCTAACCATTATAAATGCAGAATGCTAAATGTACCAAACCATAATACCTATATAATGTACAATGTATTATAATATTATAAAAACTTGTTTAAACGGTGTTAAAAAAACTAAATTATCAGATGGATAAAACAATATTTTATAAATGTAATTATGAATATTTAAGAGTAACGCTTTGATAAATTTAAATTTATTACAATAAAAATTAAAAAGAAACGTTATATTCGTATAAAAATCAAATTATTTATTCATTGAAAATTGAAAGTAAATATTTTTATTCGAGTTTAAAACATAACATATTTATTTATTTATTTTATAAACAACAATTTGTTTATTAAAATCTCGTTTCGGTGACTTTTCATAACTTAGTGTCGAGTAACAATAATTTATAATATTTAAATAAATAAAAAAAAAAATATGGTTTGAACAGTTTAATATCTCGGAATTAAAAAAGTTTTCTCTCACATCCATTTTGCTATAAACAAGAATCTTATAATTATATTACATAAACAGATCAGACGTAGTTGTATACGATTATTGGTGCGTTGAAATCTCGACCGACGTGATGAATGTATTTTTCGGTCTGCAAATAAAGTATTATTGGATTATTGGGCGATTTAACATCTGGCAGAAAAATGCATTTTTGGCATCTTCTTTTTTAGGCTAATCGTGCGACTGTATGATCAGTGCAGGTCGCAATGGATACTCGACGATATAAAATAGCGCAGGACGCACATAAAAGATTAAAGATTTTTAAGTCTCATTTGTTTGTGTGAATAAAATATTTCTGACAAATATCAAAGCAATACAGTGACACGTTAAGGTGTGATATCTAATAATAATAATTTAATTACCAGCAACGGTTTAATTTTGATAATATTATATAAATATACGAAATGAATGTACCTACGGATAGGAAAGACATTCTCAAGTATACGTACCTATAATAATTATTTGTTTTTCAATTATGTGAAACTGTATACATATTACATATGAAAAGAAAACAATCATCAACACTATATGTCTATATCATATACGCTGAGCATATATTGGTACTGCAGTTTTAAATGTGTTTTGGGTAGAAATATAATAATTGGGTTATACATGATAGGTGTATTTTGTTTTCTCAGCTCAATTCGAAGACAGAGAGAATTTTACCAAACCAAATTGAATGAAATAAGTTCTTGATATATATTATATACCTAACTAAGTAAATGTAACTGATTTTCGTTGATGTGCCCACGTTTAATTTGTTGCAAATGGAGTTGAATTAAAAAAAAAAAGTTTCTACAAATTGTCTATATGATAATACCTCCGTCATAATACCGTGTTCGCATTGACCCGAAATCCGGTTTGAGGAAAAAACTTGTACCATCGGAGAATCAATTTGCAATTTTCTCCATTCGGCCTGCTGTTGTTGAGTTTAAAATATAATAATTTGTTTTGTATACGTCGTCGTATTCATTTACATAATATTAAGTTAACCTACCCATATACGTCTATAATACTTATTTTATACGATGTATTTTAATTTGTATTATTAATGTCTAAAGTGAAATTAAATCAAATCGATTCCCTATAATATTATTATGGTTGTGAAATTATTTTGACACAAAAACAAATTTGATAGTATGGCTGATATTAATAGGTGTATATTTAATACATTTTGGCCAGCCAACACGTGCAATGTGTTTTATTTTTAATCGCATTCGGTCAACGGTGTAAGTATTATTATGTCTTGAGATAGTCAAACTATTTGACTGAAATACTGCATCGTTACACATTCAATTCGATGTAAGTGTACCTAATAATGATACACATGCGCGCGATGTCTGTACGTTATGTTTTGTTTTTTGTGAAAATAATAACTCGTGCGTTTTCGTCGATAAAAATTACAATTTGTAATTAACGTGAGTGATAACAAATAAATAAAATATTAACATTATACAATAATAATAATATAGTAATAATAATATTGTAAATAATAGTAAATAATAATAAATAAATAATACAAAACAGTTCTGTAGTACAATGTTATAATATTATATGATACGCCTTAAGTATTAAAATCAAAAAATAATGGTAGATTTTCCACAGTGGAAATAGAAAAATACATCATACCCGATAATATATTATAATACTACGGTCATAGGTATTATATCAATAATAATATTGACTCTTTGGTAGCATTCGATTACTATTAATATATAATAGTAATCGATGCTGGGACTTAAATTTTTAATATTTTATTCCCCATGCCGAATTGATATAAGTAGAGTATACCGATTTTAATAATATTACGCATGCGCCAGATATATTATAATATATAATTAATATTTATACGGACAACGTTCGTAGACTCGGCAAAAATATAAATAATACAAACACGCATTTTCAAAATATAGTTAATAATAATATAATATTAAATAATGTATAATCATGTATATAAAAATATATATTTACTCATACGCATGTTAGCACTTAATAATTCCATGTAATCACATATATTTTATCTAGGTAACTAGTACTCGTAATCAATATAATAATAAAAAAAAAAAATAAGAAGAATATTAATAACAGTAAAATAATAATAATAAAGTAATATAATGTCAATATTAAAGGTGTAAAAATGGTTTTCGTCCTAACCAACATCCCACACGCTCGGGAAGGAGGTGGCAGAGTGAGCATGGGTATATTATAATTTCGAAGACATTATTATATTATTTTGAACATTATTTTATTGTGTACATATAATGTTCTGTTATTAAATAAACCGTAAGAAACTAACATAATATAATAATAATATTTCGATGTTTGAAAATCGGACTTATTTGGTGGGTGGGCGTGAAAAAAAAAAAAGAAAATACTCGGTAAACTGCTTAATATCAACATATACCGTGGTCGTAGAACTGATGACTTAAGTCGGGCGGTCCTCCGCCCCCGCCGGAAATCAAGTCTTTATTGTAGTCGTACAATTCGTCGACGCAAGACCCGTAAACATTACCGGCACCCCCGACGCACACGTTTGGATAGGGAACGGTGGCCATGGACGCGGCCGCCGTAGTGGACGGTCGGTGGTACACGCCGGCGGGTTGGTCGGCCACCGATACCACCGGAGCGTAACCGCAGCCGCCGTTGAACATGGTGTCTTTAAGTACCGGTGGGTCGACGGCCACGTGGCCGTGTTGGCGATAGGGGTCGTTCGCATAAGGTTCCACCGAGTACTGCTCTTGGAGCTGCTGCTGGTGCTGTGGTTGGTGCTGCTGGTGGTGGTGCTGCTGCTGCTGCTGCTGCTGGTGCTGTTGGTGCTGCCGAGGGTGCCTTTTGGCACAGGGGTGCGCCGAGAGCATCTTCATCAGTTCGTTCCTCTGCGTTTCCAGCTCCTGGATCTGCGACTTTAGGTCGTAGTTTTTCGTCTCCAACACGTTCGATTCCTGAGAACGTATACAAAAGTCGGTTAAAATAACATCGAGTCGAGTCAATAACAAAAATACACATATTAACATTTAAATTATAAATCCATTATAGTTGCACGCCGTGCGTTATATCCCTATACAATATCAAAATAATATAAAATATAACTGGAAAGCATTTTTCTATGAAAAAAATGTAGTTTTCCGTTACTAAAAATGTCATCTTTCACTTGGCAATGACGCAACGATTATGCATCATTAGAATATCGGTAATATTGTCAGCATTTATTTTTAATCGACGTGTATAAATTTGTCATATACCTTGCGGATTCTACAGATTCCATCAGCAAAGCATAACGCTGCAGTCGGGTTTTGCTATGTAATGGTATGTTTTGGTTATATGCGCGTAGAATATTAAAACCTAATAATTGGAGTAAGTTTATACATGGCGATTTACTGCTTTCAAAAAATCTCGATCGCTTTTAAGATTCGCTATCTAACGAAATAAAAATCAATGTGTGAAATATTTGACATTTCGGAAAGGTAGAGAAAAACGTATGTAGACAAATAGTTTTCACACGATTAACATTTATTTTTCTCAAGTACATGACGTATATGATGTATTTGTTGCTACGATTTCAGACGTGCATTTCAATTTCCTAGATTTCGATTTGTATTTAACTCGATGACAGACTACAGTGTAATATTATGTACGAACTATATACCGTATAGTCATACCTCCCGGTATATGGTATTGGGTTTTGAAGTTAAAATTTTAAAACCAACTGCGCGTTTTCTCCTAAGAAAGTGTCCGAGGCTCGAGCCGATCCAGACACGATTATTCGAGCACATCACATCCGGCAGCAATACTAATTTGAGAATATTATTACGTACCCGCTATAGTCCGATAAGCTCCGCAGTTTAAAGAATATTTGAAACAATAATAATAATTATATCCAACTACGTTTTGAAGGCTACGCGTCCAACGTGCACCTACAGCTGCAGCGGGAGTACATGTCTATTATATATAGGTGGACTGAATACAGTGAATTTCGAGACGTGCACAACGGACTCTTGACCTTGTCTGTACATATTATATTGTTTCAATCCTCAAAAGTGACCGACTCTTGTTCGGCACTGCGTTCGTCGTTCACATATTATACGTATAATATGGCGCAGGAGGTTGTTTTCAATTTCGTCAGAAATATAATTGCTCAACCCAAAACGGTTTGTCTATTATAGCCATTTATAGAGGAACGCACAAGGTAATAGGCGTATTTATAATATGCACTAAACGTTTTAGTAGATAAAATATATGATGTCGTTGTGATTTACACCGCCAGGGTCATATACACACGAATTGCTCATAGTTGAAGCTGCAGGAGGTGGTCAACATTTTTTTATATTAAAATAACAGGGCAGTAGCTAGTATGGTTTCGTTCGTCGAATAGACTTAAGAATTTTTAAGTTTTTAATCAACCAGCAAGTACCTACGTCAATACGCAGAACGATTTCAAACATGTTTTTTTTGTAAGTACCTACTCTTATCTAATATACTTGCCCTGAAGTAAAATATGTATGGTCTACTATAATACATAGTATGACTATAGGCACTAAGATGTTATGACAACAGCATTTATAATGCATTATATAAACACTCATTATAAAGTCGAAAACGTGTTGTGTATCATTAAAACATGTAATCGCAGTAAAATGGAATACTATTGTAAATAATATGTAGTGCATTCCAGTGTACGACCCAGTCAGAGTATATAGTGCGTATCGAAAGTTGATAAAATAACAATATTATGTATATTGTAGAAAATGTCAAATCTCGTTTATCGATTTAAAACATCTGATATTAAAATATTTTCATCGGACATTAGAGTCGTTACACAATAACATATTAATACCTATCTATTCTATTATTATTATGCTAAACTGGTTTAGTAAGTCAATGTGATTTTATTAGAGGTTTAATGAACTTCGATATTTGGTATAATACCAGTTTTATCAAGAGAACGTTTTTCCGAGAAAAAAAAACTATGTACATATTATCTCCTAGCCGCGAGGTCGTCAGATAACTCGAGACACATGGTGCGATGTTCTGACGTTCGTGGACTTTTTTAAATGAAAAAAAAAAATTACGTTTCGCGAGGGCCTATACACATAGGTACTGCACCGCCACAATCAAATATTGTTCCACGGCAAATAGATTTTCATACCGCGACCGCGGTTTGGGAATGAAAACAACGCAATTCAAACAAACCGACGACAAATATTTAAATTGCGATTGCAGGGGAAAACGTCGGTATATTATCTAGGAGTGTGTTTTTAGTGCGTCGTCGAATCGTGGTTCATGCGCGAGGTGACCGCCATGCGCCTTTTACCTATATCAAAACTCTCGGAATGGTTATGGGCATAATATGAGACGCGTATGGTATTAAACATACGGTATATAATATAGTATTATGTTTACCTTTATAGGTAGGTAGGTACTTCACAGAATATTTAAATACATTATATTATTATTATTATTATTTCTCTGAAACCCGAGCGGGAAGTGATTGTGTGGTAAAAAAAAATAATTGTTTTTAAAGTCAATACAGTCAATAATCCAGGGTCAGAGCACAGTTCTGCGAAGGGTCAAGTAAAAAAAAAAAAAATTAATGGTTAAAAAATGTACTCAAATCGAACGTTTGCAAACGCGACAAGTACGTCCGAGTCAGTCGCACGTACTCGCGTATATAGGTAAAAATCGGAGTACGATTAAATTGTAACCCACTTTCGCGCGTGCGGTGTCTTGTATACGCGTCACCGTCGGTGTAATACTATATATTTATAAACATATACGCACACACACGCACACACACACACACACACATACACATTACACATACACAAACAGAGTACACTCATATAATAATATGTGTGTGTAATGCCGTGCCTGGCGGACGTGCAAGGTTTTATTTTTTTTCCGACACGGTAGTCCAACGGTTTTCGGGACTGATCCAGATGAACGCCCGAAGTTTTCGGTGCACGTGCGATTCGCGTGTTAGGTGTTACGACGACGGCGACGACGGAGACGATAATACCCAATAATATTCATCCATATATAATTATACACATATTATTGTGTCTATATATACATACCACACGTATACAAAAACAGGGAATGCACTCTTAACTCATCGGTTACTATATTACTACATCACTCAGTGCCCTGTTCATATTTTTGAATTCTGTTTGCGAGACACGAAACTAAACTATTGGATTCTAGATTCCCATGACTTACAATATCGTCTAACTGTTGTATTTCGAGCACGAGCTACAACTTCACTTATTCTGCGTGGCCTATCGTGCGATGTATGGTACCTGTATAGGCTTGACTGCTGCAGGCATTCAAACGATGAAACGAGTCTGGGCCATTATTACTATTGTAATAATCAATAATCATATTTTTTATAGTTGATAACGGATCTATATATTATAGCAGGTAAGCACTTGTAATAAAATACTATTGTATATTTATTCGCCATAAAGTCAGTCGATTTGTCTTCTCCCCGTACTTAATAATGTAACGTACGGTTTCCGGCGACGATTCCTTTTCTTCTCAGCTCTCACACAGCGTCGATAATCGCAGGTAGGCACATACAACATTCATCATATATATCTAATATTATTATACGTTCATGTATATTTATATTTAATAACATACACGTGAATTCTAAGACCAGTTCCTCACCAAGCCCCCCCCCCCCCCCCCCCACAACAGAGACAGCTTTGAATGTACGTATATAGGAACGCCGTCAGNCCCCAAGCCCCCCCCCCCTCCTCCCACAGGTCGTATAGTTTCACGCGACAGATAACCACAAGTGTACAAAACACCATACGTACATAATTTATACCGAGCGCGCTGTATACCTATGTGTATACATATATTACAGCTGCAGCAATCGGAGGAGATTCTATTTCCGACCGAGTTTCTCTCGCTCTCTCTCTCTCTCTCGATTCAACGCGACACCCGTGTAGGCGTACAGCGCGTGTACGACATTATATACGCGACCGATACGCACTAGGATTTGTGACCGTAGGGCGACATAAATCCACACACACACACACAATACACAAATGCACACAAATACACTGCTCCAGTACAGATGCTGCTGCTGCTACTACTACTACCACCACTGTAGCACGACAACAACTACAACTACTTCTACTACTACTTACTACTACTATAATAATACCATATACAACAACAACTACTGCTGGCTGCCTGGCTACACGTGTGACAATAGACCTGGCGACGAGCCACGATCGTCACGACCCAACAGAGATTAGACGATACAGTAATAATACATATTATTGTTTATGCGTTTATTGTTTAGGTACTTATTATAATACTAATATAGTGTAGGTAAGGAGGTACAAGTACTCACTTGCATCAGATTCGTAGTCTTTTCGCGTTTTTTCAGCCGACACTTGGTCGCCGCTATTTTGTTGCGTTCCCGCCGCTTTCTTCTCCTCTCTTCGTCCTCGGCCGTTAGCTGAGCACACAAAAACAAAAAAACACCAATCGTTATCACAGTAATTAAAACGCAGACTAAACACACCTGTGGCATGCCACGCGTAACCTTATCACACGTTTACATGACGCGTGCACCCGAGGAGTCCGTTCATAATATAGTACATAGGAAACATATTATTATTATCATTTATTACATACCTACCTACATTGTAACAAGCACGAGAGAGAGTTATCGCGGTGAACTCAGCTTTATCGATAATTATTCGCAGTATATACAATGATGTTACTCAATAATATATAACCAGTACGGATTCTGCTAAGTGATGATCTGAGATTGGTAATTATTAGTTTAAACGTACAATGTCACACAGATAATACTATGTCCCTCGAGTTTTTTTGATTATAAAAAATATCACATGTTATAGGGTTTATTTTTTGAATAAAATAAAAGCATAAGTACATAGGAAGTTTCAAAATGAGGATGTTTCCATGTGTGAGATTTGCACAACCCCCCTCCCTATTCCAGTGGCCTGGGCACACCACATTTCGACACAGAGCAGACTCCCCTAACTATAATATTATCTTGACCCAGTATGCGTAAATAAGTGACTGATTGAATCTGAACGTCGTGATTATGATGATTCATGATTACATTCGAAATATTTCGATGGGCCCAGATAATGTAATTATATTGTAATATTATATGCGCTCACGCCAAAAGGATTATAAAACGGTTTTGAGGCCGCAATCCAAAATAAGTCACTGCAGCAGGCGCATGCGACTTGAATGCTAAACACAGACGAGCTCCATAATTATTTACTATTATTATTACTATTATCCATATCGTCGCACCGGCACACGCGTCAATCGCATTCTTCGGCTATATTTTATCGTAGGCGTACATTCGAAAGTGACGCGTTGTCGCAGCGTTATCATATCTATAAGAACGCGATTTGTACAGAGGAAAAAGGTCGATGGACGGGAAAAAAACACTATACAAAGACCGATATCGCACGCGTGCGCATTAATATAATATAGGTATACCGCAATCTGACTCGTGCGTATAGAACGAGACTATAATGTGATTAATGACACATTTTAGCACCGTGAACGAAAAAAATTATTATTTTTTATTTTTTTAGTTGAGTGAAGGTATTACAACTCGGTGCTCCTAAAAAGTGCTACCCGAACCGATTTCCATCACCCCCTTCTAACTATATAGCACCTCTTTTAATCACTAACCTAGAGTCCTAGCCTATAGGTGCTGAGCTAAATGTGATATATATATATATTTTATCATTATCACAGCATGTGGTAAGACCTTTTATAGACGTGTAATATTTATATTAGACGCTTACTCCTTCGCCATGGGATGATACATCATCTCCATCGTCGTCGTCGTAGTCGTCGTCGCCGTGAGACTCCTCGTCGGTCCGTCGTTTTTTCGCGTACCCACCTCCCGGCGACGAGGCTGCCAAACCAGCCGACGCCGTGGCCGCCACGATCATCGCACACGCACCGGAAGTGATCGTTCCGCCAGTCTCCACCGGACTTCCAACGGCGCAAGTCGATGTCGCGGTTGCTGTCACCGCGTTCCTCTGCTTGGACCGGATGGCCATCTTGAGTTCCTCCTTGATCTTCAGACTGGAACAGATGCCCTGCATCCTGGCCGTCGGCGACACGGGAGAACACGTCGACACGGGAGAACAAGTCGACACGGGAGAACAAGTCGACACAGGGGAACACGTCGACACGGGAGAACACGTCGAGCCGGACGAGTCTTCAGAGTTGGCGGAGAAGCTTTGGAATGGGTCCATCATGGATATGAGAGTATTGATCACATCAGGTGTGTTCGGAATCGTTGAACAGCCATCTGGTAGCGCAGCGACCGCGGTCTGACCGCCGATACCGATCCCGGTAACCGAGTAAGACATGATGACAGAGAAAATGGTAGTGAAATATGGTGCTTAATAACCTCACAATGTGTTTATAGATAGCGATGATAATAATATAGGTACGCCGGTAGTGCCTGATCTAGACAGAGGAGACACGTGTGCCTGATAATGATCCTGAAAAACAAAAACAAAAAATTTTTAATCCTCATAGACCAAAATATATGAATTATATAATATTTTATGTTAAATATGACTGTTTTTGTAGTGAACACTCAAAACTTTGAAATATATTAAATTATGATAACTAGAATACCCATACAATATGCACAATTTGTTGTCAAACTTTTCAAGGTCAAATGTCGACGAGATCGATTTTTTGTCCTAAAAATTACGATTTCAGTCATTTTGATGTAATTTATAAATATTATTCGTAGGGATTTTTGGCTTTCCTTTATTCTTGTTTATCATTAATTACTATAAACTAACATCATATGCAAATTGTTCTTGCAGAAGATAGATTAACGTACAGTATTAGGAAAATATATTACTTAATGTCTTAATGATTATCAATTTTACCTAGATTTTATTTATTAGCTTATCTAGCTTTAAATATTATTGCTCTACTAAACGCAGATAAATATATCCTTATAAATAAAGTTCGACAATCGAAATTGTTTTTCGTATACAATGCAATTTATAAAATTTAAATTGTACGCATCAATTATAGTGACCAATACTCAATGACGCAAAACATTCGTTACCTATACAGCAGAGACGCTTCTCTGGTTTTATATTTTTTTTCAACATAAATAATATGATTTTGAACTGATTTTCCAACCGATTTTCGAAACGCTTTGTTTATTGACATAGAAACACAAATCTACAATAAAAACAAAAAAAAAATTAAATTAAATCCCTAACAAAATATAGTATGCTGCTATAGATATTTTTCCACTGCACTAAACCCAAAAAAAAAATCAATAATTCCTCAATATTCCGTGCAGAGGAAAAATATCTAGTTTAGCGGATGCCACTCGATTATAATATTATATACGAACGAATTTTTTTTTTATGGAAACCCCACCTACGATCGGTTTAGTTTTCCTGTGTGTATTTTTACACACCAAACCAGCTATATAGTATTATGTATAATAAGTAATAGCAATATATTCTCTTCGTTAAATAGGCGTTTTGATTAAATATTCAAATTAGTAAGGTTTATTTTTTTATTCCGCCGTCATCGGTCAAAGACGGCCATCTCCATTCCTCCTCTTGCGACCAAAAAAAAAAAAAAAAACGAAAAAGAATAAATACCAAAAATTACATGAGTTCCATTTTTCGAGATCTATGGCTGAATCGCAATTTATTATTTCGTACCCCGAGCTTCGTAATAATATAAGAGCCGACTATATTTTTAATACTAGTTAATATATATGGCGTGTCAACGACAAACATATTACCATATACATGAATTATGTGAGATATTTGTCAAAAAATTTTATATTTTTTTAAATGGCTAATTTATTTTTATTGATGAAACACGACATTGCTACTCGGCCGCCTGCAATACACGAATATAATATTTAGCAGTATTATACGAGATATTATGACATTTTCATGTTATGTGAACCTCGTAGGTTTAAATACCCAGCAAGTTATTAAGTTTTAAATCGTAATATTTTACGACTTTTATGATTTTAACTATAATGTCCTGTGGTATTATATCATTTGATATTTCACGCATAAATACCAATACATAATAATAATATGTTTATATATTATTATTTACATAAAAAATAATAATATACAGTAAACAAAATACAAATCTTGAATTATGTTTTAATATACCTATATGTACAAATACTATGCATATCATATACCACCTATATTATACATTTTTACGTATACACTTTATTGCACTTAACGATACTATTTCACGACGAGTATTATGTAATTATACTTTCAACATTAACAATATGATGCTAAATTGCGAATATTTTATCAACTTGTGTTTTTCAACCGGTGAAAAATCAGTGAGATTGTAATATAGTTGTGTTGAATTAATGTACCCAGTACCTATATTATTAATATTATTTTTTTCATCAGATTAAACTCGATAAGTTTTCAAACGGCTATACGAATACCAGACTGCTGCACGCGTGCATTAAAAAAAAAATAATAATAATAATCTTACGATAAAATAAAATTTTAGTGGAGTGTGCATTAAATTATACGCGCATTATAAGGTATACAGCTATTTATGTTTGTATACATATTATAATATATATAATAATAATATACTTAAATACAACATTACATATACGTTAGTAATGGGCCTTATACGAGTAAAATAATAATATTTAATAAAAAGGTGTCTAAACAAGTATACGACATTGCCGTGACGCGTATGATGTATAGCCGTTTTAGGAACATAATAATAAAACGTATACCTAACCTTTTCGGTTGTCGGACTCGTCGAGTAGGCTTCAAGCTGCTATGGATAAATTATTGTGAAACACTCACAACATTAAACAGAGTGCATGAAAATGAAAATGTCCGTGTACCTATAAAGGTACTTAGAGCCGGAATTACGTGTACGACATTCATTTTCGCTACACAGGATACCACAGGTGGCCACGACGTGGAATGCGATCTTTGTCCAACATTGTGTGGAAGCTGCACGGACAATTAATGTCGCATGTAGTGTACTTAGTGATCTTGTTTTATCCTTATATATTTTTAAGTTTTTTTTACTTTTTTCAATGACAACATACAGTTTTCATTTCGTATTTCAAAGCAGAATATTTTTCCAAGTATTTCGATACATAAAAATCGAATTTAGGACAAGTAGTTGAGTTATAAGTATTTAAAGTTTGATGAGCGAAGTGGAGTGATTAAACTGCAAAATGTTGTTCCACTACTCCCCCCGTCATAACTTTAAATATTATACTTATAACTCATGAGCTTCTCTGATCCTCAATTCGGTTTTTTGTACAACGAAATACTGTGAATAATATTATGCTTTCGAAGATTAATTTAAAACTGTACGTTGTAATTAAAAAAAGTAAAAAAAAATATAAGGATAAAAAATACAATTTTTTTAGTAAAAACATTGCTTTGTAACGACTCGAGACTATATGTATTTAAAATATTTTCGAAAACATTAAAACTCTTTGTTAAATGAATCACCCGGTATACTGCAATATTATAGCTGCCAGTATAAAATATGTATAATTCTGCCATATCCGTACCCCCGGGTCAGAGTACATTTGGAAAAAAAAACGTGACGTATTGGATTTTAAAATAATAATTTTGCCTTTGCTCGAACTTCCTCGTACTTTTTACGTAGCATATATATTATAGTAATGCGTACGCTTTGGGCGCGGAAGAAAAAATATAAAATTTAAAAAAAAGTCATTTGTTATACAATTCTCGGAAATTATTATTTTTTTTTTGGACCCTCGTCGTTTCTCACGAACTTGGATGATGTATTGTTTTCCACCTTAAAAAATCCGTAGATCCACGATTAACGCCCACGCACCTCGCGAATACCCGACCGGAAGACGAGAGACGATCTAAAGAATATATATGTTACGGGCAAAGTGGAAAATTCGGGCAATGTATACAATGCCCGGGCATTGTACACAGTGGCCGGGCATTGTATACAATGTCCGAGGTATATTGGGCAATGTAAATTGTGAAGTATTTATATAAATAATCTGCATAATATATTTTGTTAGATGATCCTGATAAACTAATATGAACTTATATTCGCCATCTGATTGTGTTTGCATGTCGATCAAGTCAATTTGATAGCGAGAATTCATTTCAGAAGATATGATTGGTTTTACAACCAACCCTTTTTTAGTTGTACTTCCCTTCTTTTTATACGATTCACAATTATTTAAGTATAACATTATTACATCTCTAGTTATATTTTTGTACTTTTTATTAATCTCTTGTTCCATTCTATTTCTACCTCTATGTCCAATTTACAAATGAACTTCATGTATAATATCATATAACTGAACATTATGCACATAATATTTTATTGCATTACCTTTAAACACATTTAAAATTTAATTAATTTAAAAAAAATTGTAATACTCTTATATAAATAACCATATAAACGAGTATAATTAAATTAGTATATAATATCATTGATTAAGTAAAATAATATTATGCAGATTATTTGTATAAATAGTAAATACTTCACAATTTACATTGCCCAATATACCTCGGACATTGTATACAATGCCCGGTCACTGTGTACAATGCCCGGGCATTGTATACATTGCCCGAATTTTCCACTTTGCCCGTAACATATATATTATACGTAGTGGACGTAGCGCGTCGTCGTCGCAAAGTCGCCTGCAGTCGTCGCCGAGCGTTACTTTTTCTATTTTTTAATTTTTTTTTAGGATCAAAGCCAAGTTGCGTCAGTACGATATTGTACAACACGTATAGTGTTGTGGCCGTTGACAAACAACCGTAGATACTCAACAATATTTTCCTAGCGGTATTGAATTTCACGGTAAAGGTGACGGTTTTTATTTCGCATAAATTAAGTAGGTACCTAATGAATATGGATGCAGAACAATAAAAGATTAATAATTCACGAGATTCATAATTATTAGTATATTGTTATGAGTACCTACGGTTTAACATGATGCGAAATCTGTGATATATATTCATAAGCATAATATAATATGAGTATAATAATTGTTGTACACGTGACATACCTTTTATAATGAGTATTTTTTTTATATTTTTTTAAAAATATAAGTATATTTCTCGTATAATAAAATCATCGATATGTGACTGTTTTATATACGTTCTACGTTTTTTTTTTTATCATTATTACACATTTGAATATGTTGTCAGTTGTGCAAGACCGCAACAGTGCTTTTAACTTTCCAAACTGCAGTGTGTTGGTGTGTCCGTGCTATAAAACTGCATATTATGCATATTATATATAGGAACTATAATTTGATTTTTACGTTTCGACAATAATGTTTCGAGAGAGGAAAACTTGCAGTAAAAAAAACAAAAAAAAAATCTATTATCTACAGGTGTACAACTGTATGACGTGGGACTCGTATACTAAGGTGCACTCCGCATATAGCTATATTATTGTTCGTTTGTTGGGAATTCCAAAAACTAAAATATGAAATAAAACGCATAGAATTTCTACTGATATATTATTATAACTACTATAATATGTACGTCTGCGACATTAATAACGAGGTGTGGTAGGTACCAATCTATTTAGAATTCCGATCGGTTGTTTGTTTCTTTTATACGTGATATGCGAAAAGTATTAACTATATAAGCTAGCCACTAGGTAATCTCATTTGATATGTGTGAAATGTGAATGATAGACTGGACGTATTTAATATAATATTATTTTACGATTTAAATATAACTAACTTATTCATTCGAAATGCTTAGTATAAATGATATTAAATTCACGCCGAGCGTATATTATATTTATAGTACCCAACCAAGTCACTGAAAGCCATTTCTAGTGAGTCACCGGTAACCGTTCAACTTTATTATAATATATTTCCACGTAATTACATAGATATCGCAACCTGTGGATGATCGATGTTTACACGTATCAATCATAATATGAATTCGATCAAAAACAAAATATCGTTGTGTGTAGGTACACTGCTAGAGTAATTTTATAGTATACACAATAAGAATAATGGACCTATATTATTATGTATGTATATAAAAATAACTACTTTAGTTATTAAATATCGAAGAAAAAATATCCTGGGTATGGACTGTAGTGTTTGTAAAAATCGTATACAAGACAAATGATTTGGTATTCGCGATAAATTATTATAATACCATACACGTTTAACATTTTAA